TAGTAATGCCTTTTGGTTTAACTAATGCACCTAGTACATTCATGAGATTAATGAATCATGTCTTGTGTGATTTCATAGGGAAATTTGTGGTAGTTTACTTTGATGATATTTTAGTTTATAGCAAAAATTTGGATGAGCATGTGAAACACTTGCATGATGTTTTCAGTGTATTAAGAGAGCACCAATTATATATTAATCTTAAGAAGTAAACATTTTGCATGGAATTTGTTGTGTTTCTTGGATTTGTTGTTAGTTCACAGGGTATTAGTGTTGATGAAGAGAAGGTAAAGGCAATAAGGGACTGGCCTACACCTAAGAATGTGAACGAGGTAAGAAGTTTTCATGGTTTATCAAGTTTTTATCGAAGGTTTGTTAAGGATTTTAGTTTTATTGTTGCACCTTTGAATGAACTTGTTAAAAAGAATGTTGTTTTTAAGTGGGATGAAGTGCATGATCGAGCGTTCGAAATTTTGAAAGATAAGCTAACTAATGCACCTTTGTTGTGTTTGCCTAACTTTGATAAAGCTTTTGAGGTAAAATGTGATGCATCTGGAATTGGAATATGGGCTGTTTTGATGCAAGATTCCAAACCAATTGCTTATTTTAGTGAAAATCTAAGTGGGGCAGCCTTGAATTATCCTACTTATGACAAGAAACTTTATGCAGTAGTGAGGACTCTTCAAACATGGCAGCATTACTTGTGGCCAAGGGAATTCATCATACATTATGATCATGAGAGCTTAAAGTTCTTGAAATCCCAAGGTAAGCTTAATAAAAGGCATGCTAAGTGGCTGGAGTCCATTGAAACGTTTCCTTATGTGTTCAAGTACAAACATGGAAAAGAAAATGTTGTTGCTAATGCATTATCTAGGAGGTACATATTACTTACATCTTTGCAAACCAAGTTACTTGGTTTTGAATTGCTTAAGGACTTGTATGCTAATGATTTTGATTTCGGCCAAGTATGAAATGAATGTTATAAGTGTGTGTTTAATGATTTCTATAGGCATGAAGGATTTCTGTTTAAGAAAGATAAATTGTGTGTGCCTATTTATTCTATTCGTGAGTTACTTGTTAGAGAAACTCATGGAGGCGGCTTGATGGGGCACTTTGGTGTACAAAAGACTCTAGATATATTGCGTGAGCATTTTTATTGGCCTACTATGAAGCAAGATGTACAATCTGTTTGTGATAAGTGCATTACGTGTAAGCAAGCAAAATCTAAGATTAAACCACATAGCTTGTATACCTCGTTACCAGTGCCTAACCAACATTGGATTGATATTTCTATGGATTTTGTTTTAGGGTTACCAAGGTCTCAAAGTGGTAAGGACAACATATTCGTCGTTGTTGATCGGTTTAGTAAAATGGCTCATTTCATTGCTTGTTCTAAGACCAATGATGCAACACATATTGCTGACTTGTTCTTTAAAGATGTTGTTCGTTTGCATGGTTTGCCTAAGACAATTGTTAGTGATAGAGATGTTAAGTTCTTAAGTCATTTTTGGCGTACTTTATGGAATAAATTAGGAACTAAACTCTTGTTTCTACTGTTGCACATCCTCAAACGGATGGTCAAACTGAAATAGTTAATAGGACACTCACTACTTTGTTCCGTGCTATCATTCAAAAGAACTTAAGGCAGTGGGAGAAGTGTTTGCCACATATTGAGTTTGCATATAACTGATCTGTTCATTCTACTACTTGTTTTTCTCCTTTTGAAGTTGTTTATGGCTTTAATCCTTTAACTCCTATGGATATTTTACCTTTGCCTACTATGAACTTGCTAATCTTGATGGTGAGAAAAAGACAGTTTTTGTGAAAGATTTACATGCCAAGGTTTGGGCTAACATTGAAAGGAAGAATGGGCAATATGCTAAGCAAGCTAATAAGGGGCGTTTGAAGGTTGTTTTCGAACTTGGAGATTGGGTTTGAGTACACATGCGTAAGGAGATGTTTCCTACACAAAGGAAATCAAAATTGTAGCCTAGGGGAGATGGACATTTTCAAGTCTTGGAAAGAATCAATGATAACGCCTAGAAGCTAGATTTGTCAAGCAACTATGGTAATGTTAGTGCGACTTTTAATGTTGCTGATTTATCTTTGTTTGATGTAGGTGATTCGAGGACGAATTCTTTCGAGGAAGGAGGGAATAATGGAGATCGAGATGCTAGCCAAATGGCTCAAGCTAAAAGTCTCAAATATTCTCAAGATCCTTTGCAAGGAATCGGTGGTCCAATGACTAGGGCAAGGACAAAAAGGATGAAAGAGGCTCTACAAGGTTTAATCATGGAAGTGCGTGACAAAAATGTTGCTCTACAAGATTCTAAGATTGTTTTAGCAGTTCCCAAAACTTCACTAAGGATAATCACCTATCTTTATGTGCAAGACGATGTGCAAGGCTTAGAACTTGAAGAACAAAGCTTGATGGGCTTGGCGCATGGACATGATAAGAAAATGCCCAATTCGCATGCTAAGATGTATTGATGGACTTGTTTTGTTTTCTTATGTTTTACTTTGACTTTTCTATGCTTAGTTGTCATTAGTTGTAGTCTTTTAGAATGATTCATATTTCAAAGCAGATTTGTTTTCCTAAATTAAAGGGATCCTCATCAGTTAGGTATTTCCTGATAAGATAATCATTAGTTAGGAGTTTCCTTATAAGATTAGGAGTTTCCTTATAACATAATGATGTTTACATGCCTATATAAAGGCCACAACTATGTAAAACGAAAATCATCAATAATACAATGGTATTTTCAGCAAACTTAGCTTTGCCTTCTTGTGTTTTGGTAGAATACAATATCTTGACTTATCAAGGGAGTGATCAACCTTTATGGCGTCTTCAAGATTGGATTCTTTAAGGACTTAGTTTTTTTAAGGTTATAATCTGATCAACTACAGCTTGTTTTCTAGCTTCTAGGTGTGCATAACAACTTGATTCAAGAGTTCCTAGAGCATGTCGTCTAGTGGGTTCTTATCAAGGGGGCTCCTGGTAAAGTGTTTGGATAAGGGAAGTACCTATGGGTTTCGGATACCTTGAAATCACCTAATTACTGTGTCCGATCGTTCCTTGCGAGGTTTGTTGGGCTCCAGACTGTTGTTCTTATCCTCACAGATACTGGAGTGGCTGAATTGGGATCAATCTGAGAATTTGGAGGTGTTGCAGACAGTAAGGTCCATGTTCTCAAAGTCCGCTACCTTCCCTATCCATGTCAAACTGTTACCAGTTTCCAATGAGAAGAAAGATAGTAGTGCAATTGCATCAGATTCCAAGACCGTGGAACGAGTAGATGAGTTCCCAAAGATTTTTGGTCAAAATCTGAATCCCATTCGGTCTCATTCTTTGCACAGTGAAAGGCTCGTTGTTGCAAAGGTGAAGGAGAGGCAATGGGATGTATACAATGGGAATAGGCTTCCATTTAACAATAGGAAGAGTGTTCATGGGTTTGGGCCTTCATGGTTTCAGGGTATAACCAGGGCCAATTGCTGAGGTTATCAGCCCGCAAAATCCTGGAAACAATCAGCAAAAGCTTGGGCATACTGTTCTTATGATCAATAACAACGTCGAGCCTTCCCATCGATCCTTTGGCCACTGTAATGGGATCAGGTAAGACACTCGGTTGAACCCATTTCAGAAACAGATGCAAGCACAGAGACAAATTGATTTCACTGAGACAACTTCAAAGTCTCCTATGATTACTCGACAGAGTGCCATAGAATCAGAGCACTCAGATGTTGAAGCATCATGCAAGGAAGACCGTCCATGCCCAATGGACGAGCGAAGGCCCAGGAAACGGTGCAGGAAGCCTGCAAATGGAAGAGAGGAGCCCCTACAACACCTACCACCGTTGTTGTTCGTGTATGTGAGGTTGGGGGAGATAAACAATGTTTTTCTCCCAATTAATAGTTATTACAAGGGTAATACGGGGATTAAAAATACTGTAATGATGGATTTCAATGTAAAGCTAATGGAAGGGGGTCTTTGTCTCATGGTCATAGTACAAGGGGTCTTTGTAATTTACCCAAATTTTAAATTATATATGATAATACATTAACAATAAAAGGGGGAATTTCATTAACTTTAACGTCTTTATTAGTAAGAATAAGAAACTAATGCACAGAAAGTTTTTGTTTTAATCAAAACACAAAGGAGATTTATAGAATTTAAGAAAACACATGGCGTGTTGCTATGGTACCACTTTCTATTTTCAGCACTGGTACCCATTATAGGAAGTCCATGTCACTACCACATCATGTCCTTATTGGCTGCAATGAGCCCCAATCTGAGAAAACGTTGAATTCGGCGTTACTCCAAACCATGCCTTCTCGATTTCTAAAACATGGCTTAGAGCACCATTTTTTATGAAAAAACGGTTCTAAACATATTGATATTTCCTAGAACACCATTTTTTTCAACATTAGCGTTAACGTGTTACTATTTTCTGGAGCAACAGCATCGATGCCAAACAGACGCATAAATGACAAAGCTTCGGTAGAGATAATTGCCCGTGACCACACAGGGAAATTCTTGCTTGGAAGGGTTCTCCGGAGTCCGGATTGAACATTGTGAACTTTTACAGGCTGAACCTAGGGCATTAACAGAAATTGTAATAGTGCAGCTCACAAGCTGGCGCAGCGGGGTTTCAAACCCCATCTAGCAAGCTCCATGTACTGGTTTTATAATTAATGCATTCCTCTTTTACAAAAAAAAAAAAAAAAAAAAAACTTTATCCGTTTCTTTCTTAAAAAAAGTATCTCCGATCCCTTGTCATAGAGACATCATTCATATATTGCTTATTTCTGTAGGTAATAACCCTTTTGTTTTGTTGAATTTGATCTCTTAATCTCAAATTCTCAATCCATATGGCTCTTGGTTGGTTTACCTCCAAGCCTCTAAGCCCATTGAAGCCCATAAGGCCACAACTATTTATCAAATAGTACTTAGTGGCTCTGGACGGTTGGACCTCCAACATCCAAATGGCATTGGACTTTATCTACCTTGAAAGTTCGATTTCGATGTTCCCGTGTGATGTATAGCCGGTTCTGGTGTTTTGGTTTGTCTATTGTTTAGGGTTCTCACTGAGTCACTGGTTGTAAGCTGTAACGGTTCTTACATCTCACCCGTCTGCGAATAGAGAACGAAGACCCATTTGAATTCAGACTTCAGAGAGAGTATTCAATCAAAGATTCAAAATCCTCCCAGGCGCCAACTCCACGAAACTGTAAGTTCTATAAGCGGCAGCGCATCCTTCTTTTCCTCTTTCAGTCAATCTCATACAATGTTTGGTTTTTTACGTAGAAGACTATGTATTAACGTCGCCAGAAGAAGGGATTCAACACCAATTCTTAGATATCTTCAAAACCCGTTTCTCAAATCCATCTCTCACATTTCAAATTCTGAAAAGGATTCATCTTTTACGGTTTCTTACCTAGTAAACATTTGTGGACTCTCATCAGAAAAAGCCCTTTCTGTTGCAAAGAAAGTTCATTTGGAAGATGAAAAGAAACCAGATTCTGTGCTCAAATTCTTTGAAACCCACGGGTTCAGCAAAACCCAGATCGCCAAAGTAATCACTAAGCGTCCATTGCTACTTTTAGCCGACCCAGTAAAATCAATTGAGCCTAAAGTTCAGTTTTTCAGACAGGTTGGAGTATCAGGCCCCAATATCACTAAGTTGCTCACTTCAGACCCTGCCATCCTCACGAGGAGCTTAGAGAAACAAATCACTCCTTCTTGGAACTTTCTCAAGACTTTACTTCACACAGACAATAATGTCGCCTTGGCCATTCACCGCAACAGCGCTTCCTGGATTCTTCAATTTAATGTTCTCAGAACGTTGGCACCCAAAATTGATATATTGCGAGATCATGGTGTGCCTGAGTCCAATATCTCAAAAATGATCATGTGGTGTCCTGGTAGACTAACTCAGAACAACGATCGGTTTACAGAGATTGTGAAGGAGATATGTGAAATGGGCTTTGATCCCTCAAGCACAATGTTTGTCAAAGCCCTAAATATAAAATCAGGGATGAGCACGGCTACATGGGATGCTAAACTTGGAGTTTACAAGAGTTTTGGTTGGTCAGACGATGAGATACTTTGCTTGTTCAGAAGGAGCCCTAATTGCGTATCTACCTCGGAGGAGGATATCAAGGCTAAGCTGGATTTCTTCATGAATAAATTGAACCTGAAGCCTTCAGTTCTTTCTAGAAATCCAGTAATATTTAGCCTTAGTTTGGAAAATAGGATAGTTCCAAGAATATCTCTTATTCAGGTTCTACTCTCAAAGGGACTTGTGAGAAAGAATATTTCCCTTGGAAGTGCATTACTAATGACTGATGTGAAGTTTCGAGATAAGTTTGTAACCAGGTACAAACATGAGATTACTGATTTAACAAGTGTATTCCAAGGTAAAATAGTTTCGAGATAAGCTTGTAACCAGGTACAAGCATGAGATTACTGATTTAACAAGTGTATTCCAAGGTAAAATATGATCATCTTTTTGATTCACCAAGTAGTTTTGAATTTTAAAATGTAGTATATTCAATTGATTAATGAACGAAGGTATGATTTTTTTTCTTTCTCTATACTTGATGATATTTTTCTTAACATTTTGGCTTCATGATTTTTTTTTTCTGGTGCGCATAAAGATAATTGCTTTATTCCCCCTGTATGGGCTATTTACTTGGCATATTTCCATGACACATGAAAGAAGAAACCAGAAGATATGAGAGGGTTTAGAGAAGTCAGCAAACTCAATGTAAAAGGGTCCTGATTCCCAGTTTTCTTAGATCAACCTGAATAGACTGCAATTTTTTTCCTGGTTTTTGGTAACCCAGCATGGGAGCTTGACATCTTGTTATAATTGAAACATGTTCATCCAGTTAGTCCATTCCAGTTTTCAAAATATTGAGCTACTTTCTGAATATTCAATTTAATAATTAACTTTTATTTTCTCGATTTAACTGGTCTAAAGGTTGGGCCACTGCACTCGCTAGCCAGAATCAAAATCCACATTGTTTGTGCCACCTGTCTTTCTGGCCACTTATTTTTCCTTGGCTAGTCAAAGGTATTGCTTATGTGGTTTTCATTGTCCTGATCTATGCTTTTGATCCAATTTGGCAGACTAGGAACTTTAGAAATGCCATCTAGGTATTAGGAATTGGTTTATTCCCTATAGTATTAAAATGGTGACATTTCTTTAATTGGATTTTCCTAATCATGACATTTCTGTAGTATAATTCTCTTAGGTTGTCTTTATGGTGCGATGTGCAAATGGAAAAGCAGAAAGGGTTCTGTGATTCAATGGATAATGGAATAATGGGAATGACCACAACCCAGGCATTTCATTTTTCATTGAATCAATGGAAAATGGCTATAAGTCCATTGTTCTCCACATTCTCTAGACTCAATTTTTTGACTTGTAGCAATGAAGTAGATCTAACAAGTCCTTTACACTGCTCATTTCCATTTCTGCAACAATCCAAACACAGCTTCAATGTAGAGTCATAGGAGAACATGGGAATGGCACATGAAAATATTACTAAAGTAAGATCTCTCTAGTAGGATGTGGTTTTTAGTTACTATCAGTCTAGAGATCCCATGAAAGTAGCATGAGTTAAAAATACAAAAAAGGTGAGGTTTTTCTAATACAATTTCTTTCATTGTTTAGGGCCATTGCTTAGTGCAATGGCAAATGCAAGTTTGAGTTTGAAAGAAGTAACTGTGTACAAAAAATACCACAGGTTAGGTATGTATCCAGTCTACCACTCCCTAGATAATAGGACCAAGATTGAGTAATGGTCCATTTCCTTTGTAGTTTGTGCCAAGAGTGTCCAAACTAGGACCAAGTAGCATGTATTGGATTAGTGAACCCCATAGCAAGGACAACGATCCAAACTGAATATAAATAAATAAATATATAAGTTCAATTGGTCAGAGTCTACAGTCTGCCCATTGTTAAAAATCAACAGGGTTATTGGCTGGATAAGTACAACAGTCCTTGGGTTCTCTTATCATGTTAGAGAGGCTAGGAATTAGCATCTAGAGTGACTACATTTTTCAGTTTGTTCAGAGATCTCCAAACTCCCTAGAAGTTTCTAGCAGACAGCTTAGCTAGAGATTTAAAAGAATAAGAGTTGTAATGCAGAGCATCTCTCCTGGGATGGCTCTTGTTCTTGCTTTATCTTTATTTATTTGGTTTTATTTGACTTCCTTTGATTGGCTTATTGGATCTTGTTTGTTCAATCTATGACTAACTAGGTGATTCTATTCTATTTATGCATTTTTCTGATACTTTAATAAAGCTCTTTGATATGCTCCATCTAGTTAATAATCCAAAAAGGAAAAAACATTAGGGTTGAGAAATTTTATTCACTAGTGAACTTGTGGTGGAAGAATATAAGAATGAATCTGCCAAAAAAAAAGAAGAAGAATATAAGAATGTTAGCAGTTGAGCTACTCTTGGGGGGTCTTTCATGTGAAGGCCCTGTGGTTAATGTTCAATTAGAGGTGCTCAGGCTGCATTTGGCATTCCTTATTTTAAGGACTTACCTTCTTTTTGCAATTAAAAGTTCAGTGTTCACAAGGACATTTTAACTGTAAAAAGGAGATAAGCCATTAAAATAAGGAATCCCAAATGCAGCCTTAGACTCTTGGCTTTTATTTTATGACTTGATTGTTGGAGTTAGTTGACTGCCTAGTACCATTATTGTGCATTATCTCATACACCTTTGAAACTATATATTGAACATAATGTCTATAGCATTTACATATTTTGTTTTTACAACCATGGTCCAGATTGATAGAATTTGAAGATGTTAAGGGCCATTACCCAATGCTGGTCCCAGCCATCTAAGATCTAGTGAATGGTGGACTGGATAAAGGCCCCAACATTTGGCAATTTTTGCACGTAGTTGCCACTTTCAGACTTGAATCCATGTGCTCACAGTTGTCAACCCTGGACTTTACCATTTCACTAAACAGTCACAGACAAATATATTTCAGCATGCTAAAAATGCTTCATGAGCTAACCAGGAAACAATGTTTTCAAGGACAAATTTTAATTGCTTTTTGGCGGTTGGGAGTCTTTTTGCAAATCAGGGTTTGGGGGTCTAGCTCTGCTGGTGCAGTTTTTATAAATCCCTGTGTACAGCTCCTTGTTGTACATGTTTTGTCTTAATGAAATTCTTACTTTACCTGTTTCAAAAAAAAAAAAAAAAATGCTTCATGAGCAACATTTGTCAAAATTTTCATCTGTTGTGCTTATACAATGCACACTGATTTTAGAGGGAAATCTAGGATCAGATTTGGTGGATCTTTAGCTGCACCTTCAGTCTCCCATAAAGCATACCTTCATATAAATATAAGAACTTGAACCATTCATCATTTAATAGGCCTCACATACGAGATTTACAATGCAGAAGGCTTGACTTACTAAAATTAGCATACACATCAACCTATTGCATTCTTTTCAAGAAAAAAAAGAACAGAGAGATTAGATATGACAGAAGATGTTAAAAGAGGGGAGATTTGCAATTATTTAATCTCATCCTTTTTTGTGCATATGAGATCACTTAGGTATGCTAGTTTCAAACCACTGAATGTGTCACCCATGTATGTACAAGAAGTTAGGAATTTGGATTGCAGTTGGTTGGGTGAGCATAGTTCTAAACATGAAAGAAAAGAAAGGGCACCTAGAGTACAATTTATCATTAATATTACTAGAGCTCAAGTGTTGATTTGTTTCAAATAACACTCCACTCTATCAAAAAATATAGGGAGAATGACCAATATCCCCAGTGTCAGAATTTGTAGGTTCAAAGTACATTTGGGGTAGCTGTCAGCTCGGAATTGATGTCAATTCACAGACAGGTATGGGTGCATAGGGTGTGGTTTTTGGACGTTTTGAATGTTTATAGCTGTGCAGTGGGAATCAGATTTCTGCATTGGGTGTATCTGTACTTTTCCGAAAAATATATTCTAAACTTTTTAAACATAAACTAAACCATTTAACAACTTGAAAGAAAAGAGAAACATCAGACACTTAAGAACTGTTTGGGAATTAAAAGAAAAAAGTTAAAAAAGATCTCCAACAGAGCTTCAACTGCTAGTCTCCTGGTGATTTTCCCACCACAATTGGGAGCTCCGATAGCATTCTTTGACACTTCAATAGAACAGCTCTCCTTTCCAAGACATGCATTCTGAACAGTAGACAGAATATTGTTGGCATCACAAGTTCCATTGACAAAAGATCCACAAGTGCCTTCTGAGTCACCAAAGCTGGCAAATTGAATTTCTGAAATGGTGCGACCACCCTGGCATAAGATTCCAATGTCTTTCCCTCTTGCACAGTGGTACATGCTGCCCCAACAGTAATAATCTGGAAGTTTACAAGGTAAGGACTGCCACCCATCTTTTCAAACAAGGTCAATGTGTTCTCATCATCCGGAAGAAAAGATCAGGGGACATGGTACCATCTCTGAGAGGGATGACCACAATTAGTCACACATTTAGAATCACTATATGGTCCTCGATAGTCACTTGTGTTGCTGCAACCATTCTGTTGAGCAAGAAAAGTGGGCAAGTAGCGTCCAATTCTTTTGCCATTTACATTGCTAAGAACTTCATGTCCACCTTTTACCTGTGAAGCTTCACAAGAGTAATTCCTCTTTTACATTACAGTCTCTACCTCATAAATTCAGAATCATAAATATTACCTCTAATTTGCAGTGGATATAATTCAGATATCTTCAAATTTAGCCACGTAAGCTGACATCTTCAAATTCCAGCTCTCCCCAAGGAATTCAGAGAACCAAATTGTTCTTTCGTATTTTTTTTTAATACTTAATTTCACAGAAACAGGTTTCTTTTGTTGAAAGTTAGTTACGCTGGAGTACTTATGCCTTTCTTTCTTTCTTTATTTTCTTTTTTTTTGTACATGGATTTGTTGAAGCCTGGCCTGATAGCTCATAATGAAAATGAAACCCATTCTTTTGGCAATAACTTCTAGTGGCCTAGACAGGAACATGATTATTGCCCCTTTTCTCAGCCTTGGGATCTTCATCAGAATTGAAGTCTTTGTGAAATTAACAAAGCCCATGAAGAATTCTAAGTGGATGACTCAGAAGTATTGCAAATAAAATTACATGTGCATTTATACTAGTGCAAATAAAATTACACTTTACACCTAGCTAGACTCAATATTTTCAATATTACCAATAAAAAAAGACTATTTTCAATGAGGATAAACTTCAAATTGAAATCAATAGGAATTGCACTTTCTAGTAAATCCCAGAACCTGAGATCTTATCATCCTAGGGAGCGCAAATATGAGAAAGCAATTGGTAATTATAAGGTAAGAGGCTTGCTATTATTGAAGAAAGCAATGCCAGGTCTATGTGCATGACTTTGATTCGTGCTTCATTCTATCAAATTATTATTAGTGATCCTAATTTTCTTTTTCGTTTTTTGCATTCCCCATTTCAGCCAAACTAAGAAAATGGC